TAGTGATTTTTAAAATCTACATTAACCTTAACTTTATTGTACCATAGAAAACCATGCCATCCAAACCTTGCACTTCTATAAGAGAAATAAAATTCTCTTATTTCTCAGCAGCACCCACTCTTTCATCCAAACCAAGCAGCAGGCTGCAAAATACAATTTCAAATCAGGCAGTCCCAATCCTCCTTGTTCATTTGCATCTTGGAGGAATTTATATTTAACCCTTGGCTTTTTATTTTGCCATACAAACCTATGGCATTAAATGGTACGTCAGTTGTTAACATAGGTATTGTTTGAAACAAAAACATCATTCTAGGCAATACATTTTTATCACAGAAATTCTTTCCAACAACGACAATTGTAATTTCTCCCATTTTAGCATATCTTTCTTAATTTCATTCCATGTCTTAACATATTTGTTCTAAAATATCATACAATTCATATTAGTCATAGTAATACCCAAGTATTTTACTATTTTCTCAGTCTTAATACCAGTTTTTCAATTCTTTTTGCTGTTCTATCCTTATGTTTTTGCTAACATCTTTGTTTTCTCATTGTTAATTTTAAATCCAGCTAATACACCAAAATCCTTTAATTTTTCCATTAGTATTTCTATTCCTTCCAAAGGATTTTCCACAATTATCACCAAATCATCAGCTTTAAACAAGAAAGCCAAGTATAAAATTGTCAAAAGCCTTTTCTGCATCTAGAAAGATCAATGCAGGTTGTTTTTTATTATGTAGTTGTAAATATTCCAAAATGTCCAATATATTTCTGATATTATCTCTCAACTGTCTTTTGGGTAAAAACCCACATTGATTTTCATGAATAAAGTTCTGTAAGATGATTTTCAGCTAAAGTCATTGTGAATAACTAAAATTGTTAGGATAACCTTGAAGGTCTAAATGCATATGCCAAATGATGTACAGGTGAAACTTGAAAAATTAGAATATCGTGCAAATGTTCAGTTATGTCAGTAAGGCAACTCAAACCTTTTGAGTTGCCTTACTGACATAACTGAACATTTGCACGATATTCTAATTTTTCGAGTTTCACCTGTATATAAAAAATAATGATTGCAGGCACAAATTTTTGAGTTGCCTTACTGACATAACTGAACATTTGCACGATATTCTAATTTTTCGAGTTTCACCTGTATATAAAAAATAATGATTGCAGGCACAAATTTTTGAGTTGCCTTACTGACATAACTGAACATTTGCACGATATTCTAATTTTTCGAGTTTCACCTGTATATAAAAAATAATGATTGCAGGCACAAATTTTTGAGTTGCCTTACTGACATAACTGAACATTTGCACGATATTCTAATTTTTCGAGTTTCACCTGTATATAAAAAATAATGATTGCAGGCACAAATTTTTGAGTTGCCTTACTGACATAACTGAACATTTGCACGATATTCTAATTTTTCGAGTTTCACCTGTATATAAAAAATAATGATTGCAGGCACAAATTTTTGAGTTGCCTTACTGACATAACTGAACATTTGCACGATATTCTAATTTTTCGAGTTTCACCTGTATATAAAAAATAATGATTGCAGGCACAAATTTTTGAGTTGCCTTACTGACATAACTGAACATTTGCACGATATTCTAATTTTTCGAGTTTCACCTGTATATAAAAAATAATGATTGCAGGCACAAATTTTTGAGTTGCCTTACTGACATAAATGAACATTTGCACGATATTCTAATTTTTCGAGTTTCACCTGTATATAAAAAATAATGATTGCAGGCACAAATGTTTGCATATTCTATTTGGATTTGAACATGAAAATTATGCTTTGGATATTTTAGAAGATAAGAAGTAAGAGGTGCTAATTTTTATCAACTTTCTCTTCTAGGTCTGTCTGTGCTGGAATTGTGCCTCATAATAGCTATGAAACATTTAAATGATATTTATGAAGGAGAACCATTTAATTTTCAGATGGTTTATCATGGTGAGGTGATAGTAGGTTCTTTCTAAAAGATATATTGTTCCCCTAGAACCGTAAAATAATACGTATTTGTTAATGCAGAGTATCAGAAGTTTGTTCAGAGGAAAGCGCATACTGTGTACAATTTTGAGAAGCCTGTTGTCATGAAGGTATGTGCATTTTCTTTCCTAGGAAAAGCTGATTTCTATTTTATTGTCACAGAACATTAACGTTGCATTTTGGATATGATAACAATACAGATGCTTTAACATTTAAACATGTTTTGCTAAAACTTTGGTGCTGAAATATTCTGTTTATATGAATTTGTGTATTTGATCATTATGTTTGGTGTTGTACTGCCCTCTGGTGCCCATTTAATGTATTTGTGTAGCTTCCCATTTTAAACTAATTTGGAGCTGATTTTGATGCTAAAAAATGGTTTAGATGGATTTTGATTCTAATTTTACTTATACTTTTTAGTGAATTACTTTTAAAACTACAGAATATGGTTTAGATTGAATCTACAGATGATTTGCTTGTATTGCTTTATTTTTAGGCCTTTGAACACTTACAGCATCTCGAATTGATAAAACCTGTAGAAGGCCCGTCTAATTCTGTACAGAGAGAATATTTGCTGATGAAACTGCTTCTGGACAGCAGCCAAGTTATAGAAGCTTTGCAAGTGTATCCAAACTGCCCAACTGATGTCAAACAATGGGCTATATATTCAGTCCAATGATTATAGATTTCATAAGTTCGAGTCACATTGAAGTTAACCAGTCTTCAACATCAGCATTAGTATTTGGAAAACACATCTTGAAATTATGGGTGCTTGTCTTCAGCTGTATGGGACTTGCTTAAATCATGAGGGATCCTCTTCTTTTTAAACAAAGCAAAATTTCCCAGGAAGTGTATTATTTGGACCTAAATTAGAAATTACCATATTAAAATGATCTCAAATATCAAATGAAAATTATTTCTCCATTTTAGTTCATTTTAATTTTTTTCTGGTCACTAGTATCTATTGCCCAAAATGTATGCAAAGAAACATCTTATGCTAGTAACGTTATCAGTAGAGTATGTGAAAAATCTGTATTCTGTTATACTTCAGTAGGAAAGTAAGCATTTTTCTAAAGAGTTGAAGAGACTCAAAGTCATTTTGTGAATTTATCAGTAGTTACTCAGGACAGCAGGAACAATTTTCTTAGTCTTAAAATACAATTCCAATTAAGTCCTGATTTTGGTATATTGGACCTATTTTAATATTGAAGTAACAACATAATATTTCCTGACAAAATGGCATGGTAAGCAGGAACAACCTATGTAGACATTTCTTTTCCCTGTAAAATGTGCAAATATAATATCGCAGACTCAGGAGCTAGGACAGTAAGGCGAAATCTTAATAATACATATATATTCCTACATACTGTCTGTTGAATTACTGCAACGTAAAGCTGGATATTAAAGGCAATGTGTTTGTAAATTACCAAGTTAAACTGTTACCTACGTAAATGAAGACTGAAAGGTATAAATTGGTTTTATGGATTATTCATATTTAAAGAGATATTCTGTTTTCAGGATTTAAAAAGGCTGCTCATATGAACTTTTTGTAAGATGAGCAATTCGTTTAATAAACTGTTGCAATAAAGCACTACATTCAAAATATACAGAGACATTACCTACCTGGTTCACCTGATGAAAAAATTTATTCGCAGACATGATTTGTGTATTTCCTATAATTTGTTTTGTTTTATACTGCCGTTTGAAGTAAAGCCTTCTCAAAACAGTGTACGCAGTAACATTTGAAAGCAATAAAACGTAATACAATTAAAACTGAAATATAAACATACAAACGTAAGTTAAAACCCTAATTTATAAAATAAACATGAATTGGTGAATGTAGGCAGACTAGGGCACCCCAGATTTGCTTCTAGTAGGTGTTTAAAAAGGTGTAGTCAATCTGGTGATCCCTTGGGCCATAAGAGCAGGACTTCTTTTACTATTTTCAGGGTTCTATCACATAGACGTAGATGGCCTTTCAAATGCTCAAACTCCTTTAAATTTTAAGATAATTTTTAAAGGTATCTTTTAATTGGACTTGGAACCACTGTAGAAATTGGAATTTGTACTGGATGTTGTGATCATTTAGTTGTACAAGGATATAGCTACCATGTATTAGAAACAAGAACATAAGCAATAAAGGAGGTAGCAAATTATACCAATAATACATCTGGAAAATCAGGAATATGTTGTTGTTCTACTTGTCTTTGGTATTACATCATAATGTGCAGTGTATGCAAATTGGATGAATTGGAATGCTAACATGAAACATGAAGTGCAGTCTCATGGGAATCACCAAGGCTTTGATAGAGTGTCACGTGAAGTTTCTGAACAAACTTAGTTTCAGTTACTAGCAAGACTTGCTGTCAATTGTCCTGGATGATAAATCAGTACAGTACGATAAAAGGCAAACCTGGAGATAATGTGTGTTTCCATTAATAGCATCAAGTTCAGCAGCACTCCTGGGTTGTGTACTTGGTTTTTCAATGCAACAATCCAATCTAACCTTGCTCTCACACTAGCTAGTTAGGTAGGTTCTGTTGGTTATGGACCCTTTTGTCATACCTGGATTAGGCTTGTTATCTTCTTTGGTTTTTTACCGTCTTCTAGGGACTAGCTAGAAGTAATTAGTAGAGCTGTTTCTCATGTGTTTATTAATGAAACTAGCGTAATATTTGGGGGGCAACAGGCACATTGGGAATGCATTGGACACAACGGAAAGGGGGAAGGTATTTCTAGCCACCAAATGGATGCAGCGATGGACAGTCACAAAAACACCCATTTAACGTAAGGCAAATGAAGTTGCTTCTATTGCAGTATACTTTTTGCCTGGATTTATTGGGCAGGTAATCACAACTCCAAAGTATTGGATTGCCACAACCTGGAATCTGGCACTTGGTTTGGCAGTATCTCTTAATTTTAAGATTAAAATTATTTTAAAAAATAGGGCGTAGGTCAGCGAATTTTGAGAGAGATGAAGTAATGGGAATTGATCCAAAATATATAATTGCTTCCACTCTGCTAGAATCTTGACAGAACCTCCAGAAGGAGTTGAGGAACCTCAAAAAGTTATGTTCCAAATCTCTTCATGGAATGGACAATTGAAATTTTAATATGCCTATTTTAAACAGCTTTGTGGTTTCTACCAACTATAATGTTGCAAGGCACAGCATTCCAGAATAAATGGAAATTTATGGCCCGAGACCTTAATAGACACATTTCTGAAACTAATCTGTGGTGAAACTAAAATATACTAGTGGCAGCATCTGGCATACTGCAGCAGGAAGGTCATTCCCTTTTTGTGCGTGTACTTGCTTTCCCATATATGTGCACTGGAGATACCATGTATTGTGTTTACCTAATTCTGTTCTAAATTATCCCTTGTGTCCCTTTTGCATTTCATTCAGTGGCTATCTAGTAAATTCCTACCACAAGCGTGGATGAAATGACTATATAGATTTTTTTTTTTTGCTGTTATATTGCACCAAGTGCTTAACCAAATTAATTTAGGATTTAGTTTCTAACAAATATCTCCAAGAAATCTTTAAGGCCTAGCGATATAAAGTAGCAATATATCCATAATTTAAGGAAGTGAAAAAAATCTCATAATTCAATTATACGTGTATCAGAATTCAGTTACCTGATGCTTGGTAATAAGCATGTATAAAGCCTCATGTTTTTCCATAATGTTTATCATTACAATACACCCATGCTCTCTTAGCTTGTTGCTTTAACAACAGTCTTATTCAGCAACAATTGTGCAGCCTCTTCAGATTCTAAATATTATGTTAATTATCAGAAAGGAATTTAAGCTATTACTGTTCTTCAAGCAAGAATTGGGGACACAAATGTAGGGTCTGCACTTGTATTTTGCCATATAGTGCCTGAATAGGGTACATCACTCTCAACCTGTTATGTACTTAATTGCTGCTACTTAAGTTATTGCTCTGCATGTTATTTTCTTGAAAACCTTTGTAACAAAAAGCTTCAGACAATCATGGACTTTTGTCAGAATAAGGACCACTGAATTAAATGAGTGGGTTTTGATGTAAAGTGAGTGGGCACTGGCTTCTTTACCATCAGATTAATCAGCAAAAATTAAAACCATTCTTTACCACCTTTTGTTATGCCTTATATAAGGGACAACAGAGTTAATGTTTCAGTAATGTAGAATAGTGCTGACTTGGAAAATGAAGCATACTCCAGAGCTCAGAATATTCAAGAATGCTTTTATTACTTACTGAAAACAGCCCATAATTATACCTATCATCAAAGCTGTTTCTTGAAACACAAGTCTTTCCCAATCATATTTCACATATTGGATGTAATTATAAGTGAAAGAATTAGATGCTACTCCCCTAAAAACCTGCTTTTCCTCCCAGTTAACCCTCTAATCACAAATAAGCATAGGTAGAAGAAAGGGACTGAAAACAATACCATCTAGAGTCTTTTACAGCAGGCACCAGTAGCCCATGCCCCTTTGGATATTGCTAAGTTGAGGCTATCAGTTGCCCTTGGTAGCATGTTAAATGGTGAGAGATGATGCTGGGAATTGTTCAACAGTATCTGGAAGCCCTAGGCTTCCTTGAAGCCACACATTTGGAAGGTAAGTCATAAGTTGGACCTCATTCTTAGAACAAACAGTACTCAACTACAATAAGGCTTCCTATGTTGTATCTGAAAATGTGAAGTATGCAATCACAGGGTCATGACTTGCAGCACTGTCTTCAGTCATTAAGACACCTTGTCCCCCAATAACCTCTTTCATATAGTGCTGTACAATGAGAATCACATGAATTGAGCTGTGTATTTTGCAGTTCTTTATTCAGTTAAATTATCAGCTTAGTTTTTCAGAACTGTCAAGCTTTTTAAAGCTCAATTATATCAAGCAATAAAAAGAGAAAGCAGAATTTCTTGAGAGATATATTTTAATCCCAAGATTTCCACTGTATTAAATGTAATTGCCTCAGTGGCACTTTCTGTGTTTATTTTGTTCCAGGTGATGTATAGTCTACTTTTACAGGGTAGATGTGATTGTAAAGAGAGTTGCTAATATTGGCCAAAGCTATTTTCAATATAAAGATGTTCTCAGTTTTAATTTAAACATTTGTAGTAGAAAAAAAGATTTAAATGCTGCTCTTAAGGCTGACTTTCTGCCAATAGACATTTCATTTGTGATTGCTGAAATACAGTTATAATTCACTTTTCCAAATTGGCAAAACAAAATATGAGAAAAGAAACATTGTTATGTACAATACTAAAATGTAATTCATTTTAAAAGAACCAATCAGAATAGAGTGTGCAAGTCATAGTAGTCACTTAATTTTTTATTCATCGTTCTGTGGGAATAGGGAAAGAGAAGCATACATTTATACAATATTTCACAATCACTTTTATCCAGGATGGGGTTATTTTCTCTTAAATACTTGCCAAAAAAAATAGCAAGAGCAATTTGACAGTAGTACAACAACCTGTGCCCAGAACACTGACAAGTACCGAGTAAAGCTAAAATAATTGCTTACCAATATTTTGAGAGGTAACATCTTATATGGACTTGAGTGTGCATTAAAAAAAAAAAAGTACTGCTGGTTGAATATCCTGAGGTAAATGGTGTTCCAACAAGGATACTATTTTTATCCCTTGCTCATAATCCTGTACATAGCTTGCTGAATCTTATACCAAATATTCCTAATAAAAATGCATTAAAAAGTTTAAAAAGAGAATTGGAAAAAGGTCAACCAATCAGTCACCTCACTTTGTTAAACTACGATCAGCAATTTATTCTGTAGAACAGTAGTATGAACACTATTTATTACTACTACATCTGATTACACCTTAGTTATGCAAGAGCTACTCCACATGGATTTTGCTATCAAAGAAGGTATAAAGTTGTGTATTTTATTCCAGACTCATTTTCAGAATACCACCATGAATGAGAACACTAGGTCAAAGAACTCCAACAATTACGAGGCACAATCTGTTCCAAAATGCTAAGTTATATTTAGCAACTGTACAAAGAGTAGTCATGCATCATGTGATATAAAGTTCTTAGCATCTAACACAAACTGAAAAGGTATTGCAAAGTTTAGACTTTGAAGTTGTTCACAAAACTGGCTAATCAGTTAAATCCTGTGGCAATTATATGGCAGCCAACTAAGTAGACACAGGCAAACCAAAGGACAATGAAAGCTTGAGCCTCAGCCCTAGCTTTCCTTCACAAGTCAAAGATACAAGGTAAATCACCAGAGCTGGCCGGATCAATACAAGCTGTATGGTTCAAGTACAAAAAGCAACAACAGCCACAATATCTGCCAGAAAGCAGAGCACCGTTCCTAGCTCAGACTTTAATGTGTTAATTTCTCAGCATAGATCTTGGCTTAAGCATTTTGAAAGAATTGCCCACCCCTACATTTTTCAAACAAAGAAGCTGAGATTTCCTGCAAGACTATCTTGCAGTGTGGTGGATTTTAACTATTTCATAGATTCTACCAAAAAAGAGCTTTAAAGAAGTTTTTTTTTGACATGTGATATCTTGAAAAACATCAGACTAGATGTGGGAGTGGGGGGGGAGCTTTGGAAAATATTGTTTTTACTTTTCTCATGTAGACATTGTTCTGTTTGATTGTCAATTTTGATGATTTCCCCTATATGACCCGCAGTCACAAATGCATTTGCAAAAAATACCCCTGAAAAGATCTCACCTGGCTTGAGTCATATTGGTGGAAGTTTGTATTTGATAGAAAACTGCTCTATGAAGCTGTGGTGGGAGGTTTGCAACCAGGAATGGTTTTTGTAGGCATGTGCTTTTAAGATGGTCGCTGATTAATTTCTGCATTTTCCTAGTATGAATATTTTCATTTTGAGGAAAAACCATACATACCAAACATTCATAACATTTTAGGCAAGATGTTGCAAAATCAACCCTAAAAGTAGAAGCAAGCAAATAATCTTCCTTTATTCAAAAATACATTTGAAGAACAGCCCCCCTATGTTTGTTAACAAAAGTAGCAAGTTATGCCCAACAACATCCATAATCAAATTAGGGTGTCGAACTTGGTAACTATGAGACAAAACATGCCTCCATGAAGTATGCCAGTTGCAGAGGAGAAATGCTCTAATACTTGTCCCTGTTTAGAATCTGATGTCCAAAATCTTGCTTATAAATAATTCCTCTACATTTTCAGAGGCCAGTAGATAACACAAAAACTCACTGTGATTTTATAAATCTTTAGAAGAGAACATTCACAGTGAATAACTGTGACCACCTTTTTTCAAATAAATCTAATGTATTATTTAAATTAAAAAAAGACTGACTAGAATCTTGTAATACTGGCTACTGTTGGTTCAGTACTTTCGTTTTTAAGAATTAACTTACTTTGGCCTGTATACATATAAACTATTCAAATAATTGTAGTGTATTACTACCTTTTAAAAGTACTTTGGCACCTGTCTACTTTCTGCCCCTTTTGCTAGAGTCTTCTTAATGGTAAGGCTCAACATCATCAATGCCAATAACTCCTTCAATACAGTAGTTTAAATTTAAAGTCGTAGGGCTTTTTTTTCCTTTCTTTCTTTTTTTGCTAGACTGTGCTACATTATAATTTCCATTGAAATAATTGCATATTTGATGGTAAGGTTTTTGTTTTTAAAAAAAGAGTCTGTATTTTTAATTTTTTAGTGACCACAAGTTAAACCTATGCATCACTGATCAATATTACTCTGACAAGCCGGCACCAAAAAATCAAGTGATGTGCAACTACAAAAGGTAACACATAGAAAGTGTGGAGTTCAGGGTAATGAAGCTTCCTGAGGTGATCCTGAAACAACAACACAGTGGAAATAGAGTTATGTCCAGTCCTAGACCCATGCATTGGGCGGTTGGAAACATTCTTCCGGCCTCCTCCTTCCCACAGCAGCCCCCAAATAGCTGGAAGAATCTCTGTACCGCATTTGCACGGAGCAGGAGCTGGGTTGCTGAGGGGAAACGGAAGGAAGTTAGCCTCCACCATCTTCCTGCATGTGTCTCTGTGTGGATCAACCCACTGTGTCCTGTTTAGTGAAATAGAAAATAACACCAGACAAAACATACATAAAACAGCAAAAGCTTCTTTAAAAGAATTAAAGTTAAGAGCTTTCCAGTGCCAGAGCTCAATAAAATAATAATAATAAAAAATCATGCTTAAATTTTCAAATTCCCATCAGACACAGCAAACCTAAATATTTAGTAAAATAAATGTATATGCTATTTTGGGAACTGGAGATAAAGCTTTTAACTAAAAATTGGGGAAGTTTGTCATTTAAAATGCAATACATTTTTAATACATAAGCTAGAACAAGGAAAGGGTAACACACCATTTTAGGAATGGCCATGGACTGTTGGCATGAAGCACAGCTTATAACCTTTAAAAAATACACCATGAATCTGTAATGCGTCATTTACAAAATCTGGATCAATTTATTATTTCAGTTTTATTAGTGTTGTCAATTCAATTTAGCATAGGTGGAATTGAGGTATACCTTGTTGAGGGAGGTTAAGTAATGCTTGGAAGCCTTTTTGCTAGATCCCACTTTGATTACATAGAACAGCAGCACACTAAACATTCACAAGCTGTGTCATATTGGCATTACAATAGTCATTTATATAAACACAACAGCAAATGCAATAAAAACAAGTTACCCTTTTTCTTAAATCTGAAATGAAATGTCTGATTTAAAAAAAATAGCAGTAGTTCATTTTAAGGAATTAGTCTGACATGTTAAGAAATACAATGTCAGTTTTTAAAATGTCTGACAAGCCGAGATAGGTCCATGTTCTTCAGATAAGTTTAACATTATCTTGCCATTTCCTCAGGCATATGCAGTAAGTCTCCTGGATCCATGTCTGGAGAAGTACAAGGAGGAATCTTCCTATTGACACTTCAGAGATAGACTTACCATATTTCACACTGAAAATTACTGACCAGAAACAGGCCAGTTGACTTGGCAGTTCCAGTGCTGAGTCTTATTGGTCAAGAAGTGTGACCAGTGCTACTATCATAGACTGGATTCTTTGGGAGGAAAATCCACATTTGTCACCATAGTGACCACAGTCACAATGTCTTCTGTTGTTATAATGTTTGTTAGTCTTTGCATCTGAATAATCCTTTCCTCTACACAGCCTGCTGATAATCGGGCTTCTGCATCATGATCCCAACACTCTTCTATTGTTTCACAGAGCATTGCCATTCCCTAAAAATAACAACAAGAAGGGATACAGTTTTTTAATTCTTATGCAACAGATATAAATGTAATGTCATGAAATACATAAATAGTGTCTAAGTTATATCAAAATGAAAACAAAAAGAACAAAAAATCAGGTGAGTGATATTAACACTTTCTACGTGACGCTGACATTGAGAAGCTGCAGCAAGTGCCTAATTGTGAAATCCAGAATCGCATTTGGAATTAGTGCAGGCTGAAGAGACCATCATACAGCACTTACTGTTTATCTGCCCTAGCTATCAGCCCAAATATATAAAATAGGTTCATGATTGTTACTTCTCTAGATACAGGACTAGATCCTGTATATCTGAAAGGCTACTTTAGTATAGTTAACAGAAATGACATTGTTTCAGTTTCTTCTCCTTTTCAAAAGTTGTACTGATGCAATTTCAAAAAAGTATTTTGTAACAGTTGACCCTGCTCTTCTTTCTGCCCAGAGACAGAGACTTTCACCTACCTTTTTTAATTCCTTCCACAGTCTTGCTAAAAAAACTATTACTGTAAAAATCTGTAATTTTACCACTAGAATGAGCAAGTTTCCTGCTAAAATGTGATGCTCTTTTTTTCATAATTAAACTTTGGTTTACAGTATTAATTAATACTAAGGAGTATTAGTAATTTAATTTTCACTCAAGAAGCATTCTTGCAGACATTACAGCTGGATTACTACAGTTTCTATTTATATTTGCCAGGTCCTTGTTTCTCTTCCAAAATATTCCAATGCAAATTTGTAAAGCTGTTTAAAATATGGCAAATTATATGAGAAATATTTTTTCATTCCACAAAAACATCAATACAGTGGAAAGGCAATGCTAAGTCACAGAATTTCCTTAACATTAACATTTATTAGAAACCTTTTCAGGTTAAGCAACTATAGTCAATATGTAATAATCAGGAACCTAATTTGAGTGTTCATGAAGATAATGATGCAGACCTCTACATATCAAACAATACTACTAGAGGTTTATCAGTATGAAGTCACAGGACATTAGGTTTGCACAGGTTTACAAAGAACATGTACAACACCGTCAGCCCCAGTAGTTAGACCGTACCAGAAAATCAACTCCACAGAAGACCAGAACTATAATTTATTGACACAGGCTATAATAACAGAATCTTGCAAGTCCAACTGTGTAATCTGACTGTATTTTTTTTCTTATAACCCAGTGAATCTGATATGCTTCTGAATATTCATCTTGCTTCCCAGGACTCAGACCTCTTTGCCTAGATAACTTTTTTGCATATTACTGTCAAAGTCATATCCCTTGTTGTCTAGAAATGATCAAGTTTTACACATTGTGGGAGGAGACCTGTTTTAGTCTATGGTGGCAAAAATTCAGGAGTCTGGTAGTACCTTTTCTGACTGACCAATTTTATTAAAAGACACAAGCTTTTGTGAGCTGCAGCTGACTTCATCAGATGCAGACTGGCTATACTGATGTAGGATTTAAATGGGGTAAGACAGGGAGGGGGAGGAGAGGAAGACAGATTGGCTATGCAGATATAGGTTGTATGTGAGATAGATTAAAAGAACCTTATCAGTTAATAATTGTAATGTGTTAAAAAGCCATTGGGATGTTGAGACCTTCTGAGATTGCCTGAAATCTTTTGATGTATGTGATTTCAGCAATCTCTCTCAATTGTGGTGTTTAGACTTCTTTTTTCAAAATGGTCATTGACGTCTGCCACAGGGTGTCCTGGGAAGCTGAAATGCTCTGGTATTAATTTTGAGTACATATCATGGAAATACTTTAACGGACAATTACCATGCCCTTCACGTAGTGGCCTGTAACCATAACAAATACACAACCTATCCTATTTTATACATGGAAGTCAAATAAGAAAGTATTGAGTCCTGTTAGATCTCAGAAGGTATGGAACAAGTAGCTAGCCACATCTGCATTAAATGCTTTCTTAACTTTTTTGACTATCCAAAGTTCACCACCTCAAATAGAAGCAGTGCAAAACTGGGATGAAACAGTAACAGATCACCTTAAGGATTTATAAGAGAAGCCTACACTGATTGACCAAATTTCCACCCAACAAAAACAATTAGAAAAGTGATTTGGTTGCAAAAATATCCTAATTTTGGAACCACCATTCACTATATATGAAAAATTCTGTTTTCAATAGTCTTGTAATATTAAAGACGCATGTCAATTATATTACATTATGTAGATACTGTAACTATCTGAAGTGAAAGTGAAAAGATCGAAAGTTAAGTTAGTATTATCTTTCCTAGATATAGAGAATAATATTAATCAAAATTCTCTTCACAATTTTAATTTCTATTAATAGAATCCATGTTCAAACTTAACATTGAAGTACATATAAATGTGTCAAGTTATAACATCTTAACAGATATTTTTAAACTAGCATATTGAACAGGATTTTATGGGTACAAGCCTCTCTTACATTTAGTGACTGCAAAAGTGTAACAACTTTTTGCTAAACAGTTGAGCTCAAATCTTAGAAATAGCACGTGAAATTGTATCATATGACCATTCATTAATCTTCCTGTGAATAATTATGATCACAGATAACTAATAATATATTTATTAGAAATGACAAAGATGGATAAAACAAACTCTGGAAAGTGCCCTAAAGACTGTATTAAATAAAAGCTTATCACACTTGAGAAGTTAATTTTTCTGTTAGCTAGAGGTATCACCAATGATTTCACTATCATCAATTGTGAAATGAAATAATTAAAAAATTATCAATGATACATTTCCACTGATTTCATAAGCAATAAAATGCCTCACATTCCATCACTGAATGCAGCCACCACTGAAATGCTTTTCAGGAAATATATTAAACGATTTATCTACATAAAAAATCCATTAAACCAAACAATGGATTAACAAACAACTCATCCTTTAACTTTCTGAACAAGAGTGTCCAGTGAAAAGTGGTTTCTATTTTATGCCATAAAAGTTTTCTCTTTTTGGACTACAGTAAAGCAAAGAGCTGAAAGTCAAATAAAACTCTGAGATGAGAATATTATTTCCAATATTTGGAACATTCATTCAGACCTTTTTGTACCTAGATCTCTGCAATTCCAACTGCTCTTAAGAGAATTCAACAGTTGAGTTTTCCTCTTTTATAGAACAGCATCTGGCAAAAGGCAATTATATTAAAATCAAAAGGATTTTAAGTTACCTGCAGCAATATTCTATTCATTATTTTAATGAAGAAGCAGTTTCACTGTCCATTGAAGGGAGGACCTTCCCACAATTCAAAAGGTTACTTTGAGCTAACAGAATCTCCATTCTAGAAAATTCCATAGCTTTGCTTCTTCAATGTCTTATTCCAAAGAATGCAAAAAGGGTATATTTTGGGATCAGAATGGAAGTAGTCTTGGATCCACAGAATTGAATTACTTCCCATACTGCCAACGCGCCTCTCACTGGTAGCAAAGCTATTGCAGTCAATGGGAAGAGGCAAAACAAGGTGGTGGTGGTATACTTAAAAGGCCACTTTTCACACTTCTTGTAGAGTTTGGCGTATCATAGAAACAAGCAGTTTTCTCCAATTCAGATTCTTCCTGCCCATGTAAGATTGAAGTGCAGATAGTTTTGCTGGATTATATTAATATTTTTAAAACATAAAAATATTTTTAAACAGCATGATCTTAAATTTCAATTTCTCCATTGGACTTTAAATGTATTTTTATAGGTTAAAAAAAGTTTTACCTTCTAAAGAAAAGTTTCAGTACTACCTGCATTATTTGTTACTTACAGCATGTTTCTGCCAACACTCTCTCAGAACAGGCCTCTTCTTTTTATGTACTACAACTTCCTGCATATCTTCAAGAGAAGGATGTTGACCCACTTCTTCCTCAAAAGGCAACATATACTCATCCACAGGTCCTGCATTGTAGGAAATAATAATATGTTACATAAATTCTATTAACTTCTAGTTTAATGCTGCTCAGGTTAAGAGACTAGAATGAAAGCTGGTAACTGGTTTATGACTGTCCAAATAGATTATATTGAACAAGGGTCAGATAATGGGGCACATCTAGTTTATTTCTCCTTATGTAAGTCAGGTCTAGGATTCTAAACTGTGGTTTCCAAGACTCTACACAATCTCCTCTCTGTATCAACTTTGCCTTTTGTCATAAAGGCATTTGTTTATTTACTCAAAATCAAGTAGAAAAGGAGTAGCAGACTAAAATATTGAATCTACTTCAATAGTATAGAGTTGATTAATCCCTATTAACACCTTCAATGTTAATAGGGGATTACACATATTCAATGAATATTCTGCATGAATTTGTTTGCTATGATTGGGCATATGATGTTTGCTGTATTCTGTACTAGTAAAACTGGATAGTCTAGTTTTTCTTTGTACATATTCTGTAGTATCAAGTCTATATATTTTGATATAACACTCTGATATCATTATGTAAGTTATGACTTCATAATGATCTTTCTTTAAGGCTAAATATTATTACATAAAGCATCTTCTTCAATGGTTGCTCAATAACAGATCTGTACACAAGGTACATATCAACAATGACTGCTTTTGGTAACTATGACAAAGTCTGACAAAACAACCATAAATATTCAGCATCGTGAGTTATTCATAATATTAGAAGAATTAACTCAACTGTAATTACAGTTCTTCAAGTAGCCATCTGTGAATTCACAAATGAGTATGTGCCTGCCCAGAGTCTCCTTTAGAACCTTCCACAGCTTAGATAAATGTTTGGCCAGAGACTTGTCCCACATGTACTGTGTGAGTAGATCTGGCTCCTGAACTGTTTCAGTTCCTAAGACTGCCACAGCAGATCTAACAGGATAATGAGGTCACCTGAGAGTAAGCAAGGTGAAGGGGCTGGTTGTGTGAATTCAGATGACTACTTGAATAGCTGCAATTACAGGTAAGGTAAGGAATCATGTTTTCTGTGATTCACACATGGGTGACTAGCACGTTTTTTACCTGAAGGACACTCTGATACACTGCAAGTGACCAAAGATACAACTCTTCTTCCAAAGGTTACATTCCTCTGGGTATAAATTACAGTCTAAAAGATGAATGAACATGGAAGGCTGAGCCCATATAACCTCCCAGCATAGTTCTGGTAAAGGAATGTTCTGGAGTAAGGCTGCATCCATCAGTGAAGGCTACATTGTAAGGAGGGCTAGCAAAGCAGCAGTACACTGAACTAATTAGCATACTGCACCCTTAACTATCTGAGAAGATAGTTGAATACCATGCTCAGATTCAAGAGAATGAACCATCATACCAATCTGTACACTGCAAGAAACAAAAGCCTTACAAAGAACAGCTGAATGCTTAATTCCCAACTTGTGCATAGGTGTCAATATGGAAGAAATCAAATAAACAGAGGCATCAGCAGCATAATCATTTGGTACAAAAAGAGCAAACTGTATTCTGCTTGGAGTGAGATGCAATTGTTCATGAGAGGCAGTGATCTCTGAGCAAGAGGGCCTGCCAGGCTAGTGCAAGATTTGTCTCTTGGAAATGCCTAGAGGTGAGAGATGAGATCTGGGAGCAAGAAGGTAATGTTTGCAACAGCTGCCTGTTACAGGGAGGTAAAAAGGATGTTAAGGGAGAGAATCCAAGAAGAACATGAAGTGTTCACTAATAATTCACTAATATGTGAAATGTTTTGCCTCACTGTATCTCATGCTGTTCTAGGGAGTTTGGGAATAGAATCATGAATAGCTTTGTCTTGTAGAGGCCAGTGGATTATTCTAGAGAGGGACAGCACATAATCAACAGAAACTGGGGAGACCACCCCTTGAAAACAGTGGACATGATGTGATTGACTAGGGATGCACAAAGCACTCAACTCTAAACATCCCCATCGAGAAGATGGCAATCTGGGGAAGCAGATCTTAATGGTCATCTATCCCAAACCTCTTTCTGAGAAAGATTTCAAGACTTAAAAATCTAATAAGCCATTCATGGATGGATGGATGGATGGATGGATGGATGGATGGATGGATGGATGGATGGCAGGCAGGC